CAATTGAGTCTGGGTTTCACAAGATGAAAAAGGTCAAGGCTCCACCCTCCAAAACAAAACAGGAGGTGAACTTCTAGGAGCTCAAATCTTTTGCATATCAGAATTGACACCCCGCACCCCAACACACACACACACTCAGTTAACAAACCCTCCACTAAAACATCCCTCCCCTCTTTCGAGCTGAACCACATCCTTTTTTCAACCACCTTCCCCACCCCCCTTCACAAACTTATATGGCAGTGTCTGTGCAGTCTTCAGACTTCACGTAGATCTTGGAAATTTTCACTCCGGGCCAGCTTCACACTACATGCCTACGTGGGGCCTGTAAAATGCTCCAGGTGCTCATTCCCTTCTCCCTTCATTCCCTGTGGACTGAACCTGCAGGTTTTTACGAACCACATGCCTTCCCTGCCTCTCGGCTCTAAGTCACACTCCCGCCCCCTATTTGGTTTCTTTTTAGAACAGAACAAAACGGGCCTGCCTCCTATTCCCGGAGTTCTGACAGGCGGCGGCAGAGGCAGGGAACTGTCTGTCCCTGGAAGCTGCCCGACTGGCACGAAAACACGGGCACTGCCCTGGGCCGGTTTGGGGCGGCCGGGTCTTCCCTCTCCTTCTCCCCGGGAGGTTCTGCCCAGGGAAGTCCCGCCTGGAGACATCCGCCCTCCGGGCCGACCAGTGGGGCGGCCAGCCCTGGGGGCGGGGGCCCGGCGGAGATGCGTCAGGGCGGCCGGCCTCGGCGCGGCGCCGGCCCTTCCCGACCGGCCCAGGGGCGTGCGCCGGGCGGGGCTGGAGCCCGGCCCAGCTTGGCCCGGAGAGGAAGCACCAGGCCCGGGCCGGAGCGGCCCAGCGATGACCCCCGGGTCAGGCCCGGCCCGGCGCCCGCGGGGAGGCGGGGGAGGCCGGCCCGACACCCTCGCCCCGCGCGTCCGCTCGCCGGAGGCCCACGGCCGACGGTTACCTGCTGCCGCGGCTGCTCCGCGCGAGGCCGGAGGCGTCGGAGGCCCGCAGCGACGCCCGGGCGCGCCCCCTTCCCGTGTCAGAATCCCGCCACCAGCGCTCGGCGCCGCGGTCCCGGGGCGCACGGGTAGCGGCGGCGCTGGACGAAGCTGGCGGGCGTGAGCTGCGCTCGCGGCGGACAATGCGGCCCGCGCAGAACCTCGCTGCGTGAGTGGAACCAGGAGGCGCGCGCGTGGCCGAGTGTGTATGTGTGCGCCTGTCAGTCAACGCTGACAGGCCGCGGCCCATTGGCCAGGCCCCGCCCGCGTCGCCGCCCACCGCCGCCGCCCATTGGGCGGTTTGAACACAAAGGCCCCCCGGCTCGCCCCGCCCGCCGCGTGGGCCCCGCGGGCCGGGCGCGCCGGGTTAGGAGTCCGCGCGTGGGTGGCGCGGGCATGGGGGCGATGCCTGGGCGCCCGAGAACTCAGCTGGGGCCGGCAGGTGAGGACTCGGCGGGGCCTGACTGCGCACTTGACCTCCGGTCCAGTGGTTCAAAACACGTGAGGGCGCCCTCGTGCGCTGCACCCCACGCAGGGCCCACTGACCGCGGCGTCCCAGCGCTCCCCAAGCTGACTCGAAAAGGCCCTGGTGCCAGGACCTTGTAGGCGTTGGGTGGTTGAGGGCACAGGATCACGGAGAATGGGCAAAGGAGGTAGAAGACCCGCTGGCCTAGGGCCCACCAGGAGGGGTAGCGCGTAGTTAGTCCCCCGCGGACTCAAACGACTGTCGAAGTTTGCATAATTGTCCTCTTAGCCAAGCCTTTCTACACTCATTTCACAGGTAAAACCTCTCTGAACCTGTTTCCTTAAGTGATTTGCTTCAAGTCACACAGCTAGAAAGAGACAACATTGAGATTAGAAGTCGCTCCACATTCCAGCCCCTGTTTTCCATTTTAGGGTTGATTTGGAGATTCTAGACACGGTAGGAGGCTCTGCCGCTTTCCAATCTGCCACCAGAGGTCTCCGTTTCAGGGCAGAATCTTTTCTCGGTTTTAAGGAGGGTGCTGGCCACCACTGGAGCTGAAAAGGCAGGGTAACTACTGATTTCCGTGCCTTACTTCAAATACGTGCATTTCAAATGAGCATATGAAATGAGCATCGCAGGTGTTGAATGAGTAAAATGCAGCCTGACTCCAGGGGTCCTGTGCCCTGGCGCCCCACGGGCACAGCTTGGGAGGAGTCACTTCTTGTGACTCTAAGGGAAGCTCTTCTAAGGCAGGATGAAATAGACTGTCATTATTTCACTTTTAAAGTGCCAAGAGGAAGACACCAAAATGACAAACTCACTGAGACAGGACAGGAAGGCACTGGGGGTAGGGGATTGAGGAAATGTGAAGCCTTTGTGTTATATGGACTCCAGACAAAAACCGGCCCTCCCTCCCTGGGCCTCCACCGCACCTCTTTAGGGGCCTCACTTACATTTACAGCATCTTGAAGACAATGGTGCTGGTCAGTGTTGTTGCTGGTGTTAGATGGAGAACTCCCTGATGTCAAGGGCTGGCTCTGCAGGACCCAGCACAGGGCGTGGCTCAGGCCTGAGGATTTGCTGAACGTGGAACTAGTGAAATGAGAACTCAGACCAGATTTAGAGTCAGCATCTAGGTAGGGGAGGGGCCCTTTCTTTGACACCCTTCTCCTCACCAGGTGCTTTAACTCTCCGGTGCTGTCCTAGCAAATTCCAGTGGAGTCCCCAGATCCCAGTACTCCCATTGCAGAACCTGCCGCCTTCCCTTCTCTCCGAAGACCCTGGCAGAAGGACCTCCCAGGATGTGCTGTTTTGTGAAGAAGGAGGTGGTTTGCCTTCCACTGGTCTAAGGCAAGGGCCAGGCCAGCTGCAGGCAGCCCCCTCTTATACTGTGGTGCCCCTATGGGCCTGCAGTAGGCAAATAATGGGCCCCAGAGATAACTAGCTTCTAATCCCTGGAACCTGTGAATGTTACCTTACATGGAAAGTCTTTGCAGATGCGATTAAATGAAGGATTTTGAGAAAGGGAGATTATCTTGGATTGTCAGGGTGGGCCCTAAATGTAATGACAAGTGTACTTTTAAGAGAGAGACAGAGGAGAAAAGGAGAGGGCAATGTGACCACATTGAGAGAGACTGGAGTATGTGGCCACGAGACCAGGAATGCTGGCAGCCATCAGATGCTGGAAGAGGCAAGGAACGGATTCTCCCCTAGAGCCTCTGGAGAGAGCACGGCCCCGCGAACACCTTGATTTTGGTCCAGTGATCTTGAATTTGAACTTCTGGTCTTCTGAACTGTTAGAGAATAAATTTCTGTTTCTTTAAGTCATCAAATTTGTGGTACTTCGTTACAGTAGCCATAGGAAAGTAGTAAGGGCCCTGGGAAATGCTTATTTAAGGCTCCCACCCTTTGTCCTCGCCGTCATGACACCCCACATCAGACATGAGGTCACACACACACCCGTCTCCCCGTCTCTCTTGCCCCTCGCCTCTGCCATCTGCTCCAGTCAGCAACTCTGCCCTCCCAGGCTCCTCTCTCTCTGTCTAGCCACCGTTCGTTTGGCTGTCTCCTCCCAGCCCTGCTCTTCTCTTTTTCACTGCTCCATTCTTCCTTCTTCTTTTGTCATCATCTTATAAACGGTGGCAGGTGGGAGGTGGGCAGCTTTGTCCCAGCCAGAATGCAGGGCTCGAAGGCTGACAATGCAGACACCACAGTGGGGCCACATTATGACTTTCTTCATTGCTAGGCGCTTTTGCCTCACTGGCCCCTTCCTTCGTAAAATAATCATTAATAATAATAATAATAATAATAATATGTTATGACCATATTGGTAGAAAGACAACTGTAACCTAGGCTTGATTCATTATTAAATATTCATTATTATGATATTTAATTTTTCTTCTGATTTTAAAAGAAATGAAAATATTTCCATGGGCCCCTGAAGCACCCTAGGCCCTGGGCGCTGTGCCCGCTCTGGTTCATGGAGAAGCTGGCCCCACACTGGAGACGTGGAGGAACAGCTCAGTGAGGGGAGCCCACGTGGGCACAGAACACCCTCTGCTCTGGCCCAGCCAGGGAGGCCCCGTGTCAGTGTAGGCTGTGGTGAAGAGCAATAGGGTGTGGGTCTGCAGCCCTGGTTCCAGGCCACGTGCGCCGTCTGCTCTGTGACCCTGAGCCAGCCACTTCACCTCTCTGAGCCATTTTCCTCATTTGTACAATGTGAATAATAACAGCTGGCCTGTCTGTCACACGACTGGCTGTGTGATCTGGGACCCGTCAACAAGGCTCTCTGGCCGCTGTTTCCTCGTTTGTGAGGACCAGTGAGAGAGGAACTGCTCAGACACAAAGGGCTTTGCCACCTGTGGTCTTTGGGAGGAGAAGGGGGCAGGTTGGGCCCCTGGTCTGTCCTGGACTCATGGTCAAGTCAGGTGTATCTCTGTGCTTCCAGAGATCAGGGCTTCTCCATTCCAACCCCACATGATGGCAGGAAGAGCTGTGTACCTGCCTGCCTCCCCCATGGACCTGATCAACGTGCAGGAGGAGGTGCTCAGTGTGCTTATGTCAAATGACCACACAAGGAAGGGTAGTAGCTACCTCCCTGCAGCCAAGGCCACCTCCACTTCTTCCCCGCTGTCAACATCTGTCAGCTGCCAGGGTGTCAGCGTCTGTCATTAAACCATCCCAGGCAGAGTATCCTTGGTGGCGGGGTGGTGGTGGGGGACTTTAATGCCAGGCTTCCTGGCTGCAGGAACACGTTTGGCAGCTATCGGGAGGCAGTAACCTCATTGTGTTCCCGCCCCCCCACCCCCAGCCCTGTCTCGGTAGGGATCTGATGTGGGCTCCCTGTTTCACCCTGCCCAGTCTGGTGATGCTTTTGCATCAGAGAGATCAAAGGGCTCCGTCACCTGGTGGCAAGCGCAGTGAAGCCCGTTTTTTATGGAAGGAGAAGTCCAGTCTGAGGAGGGAAAGGCGCTGGGTCCAGGTTACTAAGTAGGCCCCCCAGGCGCCAGGGACATAACATGGGACTGGCCGAGGTGGACACTCCCAACCGGGCTCTCATGGGTGACACTGCGTTAGTCATCTCTGTCCCCTCACACCTATTACAGTGCCCGGCTCCTAATAATTGCATCATCCAACTGCCTGACTGAAGCTCCCCACTCTTCAAACGGCCCACTCCCTAGTGTGGCAGCCGCAAGAGGCCCTGTAGGCCGCGTTTGGCGTCCCCAGAGCTGAGTCCTGTTCCTCAGCCTCCGCCCAGGCCCTCCAGCTCCTGCACCTTTGCTCAGGTTGCGTGCTGGCCTGGAATGCCCTTCCCCTATTTCTGGCCCAGTGAAATTCCACTAAGCCTTCAAGGATGGGCTCAAATGTCACCTCTGCCATGAAGGCTTGCTTACCTGCCCCCAAGCACCCAAGGCAGAAGGAATGGCTCCCACACCATGTGTGTCCCTCTGTCCTCACGTCATACACTGTGTTCTAGAATGGGCGTACTTAGTCACCCACAGCCCCAGGGATCATGTGGGTGAGATGGGCTAATGCCTGGCACTCAGTGTAACTACACTTATCGCTTACTGTCCCCCACCCCTGGCACAGCACCTGGCCGCATGGAGGAATGGCCTGAGTGGGCTGTGTGTTCAGAAGGAAGGTCAGGACGGCACTCGGGTTTCTGAGGGCACTGGCCCATGGGTCAGGACTCATTGGCCGACATCGAGGGACTTGCCAGATATCTATGAGGTTGTCCCTCCTGGAAACTGACTCTCAGCCTCTCGACACACATCCACCTCCCATGGGGATATTGCGGGGCCGGTGGGCTAGAGTGCAGGCTGTTCACTCAGACTCTCCTGGGGAACAACTTGGACAAATCATTTAGCCTTTCTCAGCCCCGATATCCTCATCTGTAAAATGGGGATGACATTAATGTGTCTACTTCATAGGAGCTTGGCACAGTGCTGGCACAGGGTAAGTTAAGTGCTCTGTCAACATTAACTACTTTTTAAAAAAGATTTTATTGGGGAATTGGGGGGAGGGGAACAGCGTTGGGGAATCGGGGAAGGGGAACAGACAGGTAGACAAATTGCTGTTTTTGTTCTTCAGTCTAGTTGTGGAGGACGTTGCTTCACTGGCCCATGTTGGTATGATCATTGCGCTCTTCCCGGGTGAGGCAATCCATCGCCGGTCATTGGTCGGCAGCTCACAGCGGCTCCTGGTAGCTCACACTGGCTACCAGCCTCTCACACTGACTGCCAGCCACTCACATAGCTCACAGCAGCCCAACTCCAGCTCGAGCTGTTGTTCATCATCTTAGCTGTAGAGGGTGAGCGTCACTGGCCCTCCGTGTGGGATCCGAACCGCAGCCCTGCTGCTCAGAGCTGGTGCTCCAAAGCGCGCTCTTAACCAGCTGAGCCACTCGGCCGGCCCATGTTAACTACTTTTTAATATACAAGTATTTATTTATTCCTACTGCACGCCTGCTCTACAGTGAGTAAGACACAGCCCTGCTGGGGAAGGCAGTTCAGTGAGCAGGTTGTTACCACACAGTGAGGCTCCAGGAGGGACACAGGCCCCTAAGGTCCCCCATGACCAGGGCCTCAGTGTGACTTTCGTGGGCCTCTTCCTCCATAAAAATGTTAAAAATTCTTTTTTGCAGCTGTGTTGATATAAGAACAAACACATTCCAGGCTGGATTATATCCATTTTTTCCCCCTTTTGATTGAAAAAATAATTTAAACATTTTTCTGGGGCCCTAAAAGTGTCATGAGCCCTGGTACTGACCCTGCTGCATGTAAGGGTCTGGCCATGACTCTCCTCACCAGGATTTAGGGAGTCAGGAAAGCTGCTGGAGACAGTGGCCTGAAGGGTGAGAGGAGTAGCCAGGGGACAGAGGGGACAAGAGGAGACTGGGCAGAGGGGACCACAGGGAGAGTGCTCATCTTATGGGGATATTGCCAGATCTACGAGGTCCACTGCATGGGGACAGCCCCTGCCCGCACCCCACCCCTGTCACTGACTGGATCCTTCACCCATGTTCCCTGGGCTAGTCTGAGATACCCAGCACCACCTCAGCCTGCCCCCACCCACACAAACCCTCCATCACTCGCCCAGCTCCCTCCATTCCCACCTGCACCATGGGGACAGTAATTGCCACCCTCCCTGCCCACCAGGTGGCTGTGGAGACAGCAGAGGTGGCCAGAGGGAAGCTCTCCAAAGCCTGGGGAGGAGCTGCACGAGGACCCACAGAGACTGCCTGTCCCCAAAGCAGTGTTATTATTGGTGTGGCCGCATACCTTTCCCACGCAGGGACAAACCTCAGAGGCGCCCTCCTCACTCAGCACCCAGTTATTAGCACTGCAGCCTGCATGGGAAGAAATGTCCCATCATGAGTCACTCAGCGTGATACCCAGAGGGGGTACAGGGCTAGTGGGCCCTTGGTCATCACTAAGCGCATCTCCATCTGGGGACATCTGTTCATTCAGTTCTCCTTCTGTGCCCACCACCCCCACTGCCCCTGTTTTCTGGGGGTCTGTACTTCCTGTCAACCAAAGCTCCAGGTGTGGGGGAATCTGGGGTGGCTGGCTTTGGTGGCACACACGTGGGAAGGGGCAGGGCTGTGAAGGCTAAATGTGGTCGTCTGCTCGGCTCGGTCATACCGGCCGCGGGGTCTTCCTCCACCAGCACCACCAAGGGACCCCGGTCCATATACCTGGGCATCGTATCCAGCATGGCCTGCAGCCACTGGCCCAGGCCTCCCAGAGCGCAGAGACGGCCCTATGCCATCATTCAGGCCATAGGGCCTGGTGGTCAGGAGCTCTGGACTCGACAAGCTTGACTTCTTGAGGCTGAGGAGTGAGAGGAAGGGCAGGATCAGCGAGGGGTGGCCTAGGGCTGCGCCTTTCACCCCACTGGTCCAAGAGAGGACTCCCCTCTAGCAGCTGGGGTGTATGCACCTGTGGGTACACCTGACAACGGCAGTAGGTCTGGGCTGCCACGGGAGTGACATGAGCCTGGGCAAGCCTCAGTGTGTTTATCCGCCCACAGCAGGGGTTGAATGTACTGCCTTTAGGGCGCCCTCCAAAGCCCGTCCCAGGCCCAGCCCTCCCCACTGGCAGTGGCTGCCCTCCCCAAACCTGTCCAGCCCGGAGGACACATCTGACTCCACACCCAGTCCAGTGCCTACCACACGAGGATGGCTCAGTAGGGGTGTGTGTGTGTCTGATGCCTGCTCTACCCATCCCTCCTCTCTCTCCTGCTGGCTGGCTGCCACACAGGCTCTGAGGGTTCTGCAGGTCACCATCTCTTTCTCCTTCCTGTCTAGAGTTCTCTAAACTCTTCTGTTTTCTCCCTGTCCGCCCGCCCCACCCCCACACCACCAATTCTCTTCTTTGTTACCCCATCCTCCTCCTGTGTTTGATTCTCAACAGCTTTGCTCTTGGGGCCAAGGTGGCTATGGTTATTTGTAATTCAAGCAATTTCTCAGTCTTCCTCTTCCGGCCTCTCCCCAGCCCACACCTCCTACCCCACACACAACCCACCCCTAAGCGCCAGCCTCCCTCCCAGGATTGGCTCCTTGGGTTCCGCTTCCCATCCTGCCTGCCTCTCTAGGAACAAACATTTCCTCTTTTCAGCGTGTTACTCCCTCCTTCTCCCTGCCAGACAGTCCCTCTGCCCCCTTGGCGCCTCTCGTGCCATTGTCCTCCCCAGCGAGCCCTAGTGCCAGAACTGGAAGGTTTCTGCAGGTTTCTAGCTGTCCCCTCCCCTCCAGCCTCAACAAAGCCTACAGAAGGATCTTCCTGAAGCACGCTGGACCTTGTCACCTCTCTCCAGCTTATCATCTGTCTGTGGTTCCATCACCCCTATGATGGAGTCCAGCCTGGCTTGAAAGCCCCCATGACATGGCCTCTATCTGGCTTCCCCTGTTCACCTTGCACTCTGTGCAGAATTAATATAGCAGCCCTAAGACAAAGGGCTGCTTGCAACACTGGCCCTTGGCTGGCATCTGGAAACTTGGATTCTAGAAGTTTCCCTCCTTCCCTAATAAGAGTGGCTCGCTCGCCGTGACTAAACTGTTTGTACAGACAATGTGGTTTATGCTGAACACCTGCCCTCCCTCTGGGAGTCTGGATTTTGTACGTGCCAGGCAGAGGGTGCCTATGTGACCAGCCCCCAATAAAACCCTGAGCATTGTCTCTAACGAGCTTCCCTGGTAGGCAACAGTTCACATGTGTTGTCACAACTTGTTGCTGAAGACTTTAAGCGCGTCCTGTGTGACTCCACTGGGGGAAGACACTTGGAGGCCTGTGCCTGGTTTCCTCAGACCTGCCCGGAAAAGGCTTCACCTAGCCGGGGGAAAGCTACCATTTCTGAACTGTGTTGTTCAAAGTCAGAGAAGTAGAACTTGGCAGGAGTCTCCTGGTCCTGGGTCGCCTGATATTAGACAGAAGGGCCCCTGCCCACCCCCTACCCGGCCCTCCGTCCCAGGGCCCTGCTGATACCGGGTGGAGGGCCATCTCAGCATTTTGCCCACAGAGCCAGGGACAGAATCGCACCTGTGAGAGAGCTGTGAGACTGTGGGTGTGGCCTCGTTTCCCTCATCTGTCACAAATGGAATAATGACGTCTGCCTGAAGGACTGTGGTGAGGATGGAATGAGAACATGGCACAGAGCCTTGCCCGTACATGCCAGCTCCTGTCTCTCCAAGCTAGCTTCCTTCCCAGTGAGCCACAGGCAGGCCTCTCTAAAGTGAGATGGTCCAGGAAAACAGGCCTGGGGTCTCTAGAAAACATCGCACCTCTAGTCTGCTCTGCATCCAGCTTTCTGCTCAGCTCCCAGTGGCTGTGTGATTCTGGGCTGGGTACTTAACCACTCTGTGCTTCAGTATCCTCTCCCCGCCTCAGTAGGTGCAACCATAGATGTGTGAATGGCTGTGGAGGAACATTCCTGGGGTTATTTTTTCCCTTTTGGGGGACTGCAGAGCTTGGCAAGTGTCTCTTCCCGGGGTGACTATAGGTGTGGGGTTAGAAGTTCTGCTCTGGACGTGATCCTCCCTGCCGTGGAATGGAGACGTGCCCAGGGTTACCCTTCTTGCTTTCTAGGAGGGCTCCCTGTCTGCAGAGGGACTGCCCCTGCCGGCATTTTCCTCTGGGGTCTGGGTAGCAGCACCTAAGCCCAGATTCTCTGGCCTGTGTTGGCTGTAGGGGTGGGGTGGGACTCAGAGCAACCCTGCTTTAAGCAAACCCTCTAAATAGAAAATCCAAAGGGGCTAAAAGTCAAATTTTAGAGTGCTCCCTCGCTCTATGAAAGGGTCCTTATTTTATGAAAAGCTTCCCAAATTCCATTAATTTGACCCTGTCCCATTGGGTAAAGTGAGAGTCAGTGCCGAAATGACCTCCCAGAGAAGGTGCCCCAGCATGGATGGAGGAGCTAAGGTAGGGGATTTGGGGTCCAGCTGGTAGCCTTGGAATAACCAACCCCCTGGAAAACGGGGTGGCAGAGTGTGGAGGTGGGAGTGGGTCGAGGAGGAGGTGGGCAGTGATTTGCCGAGGGCATCAGCAGGTCCTGGGTGCCTGCCATAGGCTAGGTCCTGGGTGTCTGCCGTGGGCCAGGTCCTGAGCACTTGGAGCTCCGTCTTCATGGCAGCCCTGCGAGGTAGGGACTACTGAGAAGACAAAGTTGTAGGAAGGGACATGGGACTCAGTGGAGGCACAGGAGCCTGGCTGGGGCATTGTTTAAGTGAGGGCAGGGACCTGCTTGCTTGATTAGTTTGCTGCCCCAATATCCACACGGGAAAGAGCACACAGTAGGTGCTCAATAAATGTTTGCTAATGAAGAGCTGAAGGAAGTCAGGTTTGACTGACTCAAAGCCATCACATTTTCCCACTTAGGCCCGATACACCTGAAGAGGTGGCCTGTGGCCTACTGGGCCTGGGAGAAGGGCAAGGTGTAGATAGAGTCCAGCCAGCCCTCCCAGCGCCTTCCATTCAATGTCCTCCGAGTTTCCCCTCCGCAGGCCCTGGCTAAAGCAGTTGCGGGTAAGCCATGTTATGCCCAGATGTGACCACAAGAGGTCGCCCCACACCGCCAGCCACAGCGAGATCAGCCTTCCAGTCTTATATCTTGTCTATAAGACTATATCTTCCAGTCTTCTTATATCTTGGAGAAATAGCAGGATGGAGAGGGAGCAGGGTTGGAGGATTGTACCCTCTGGAGGGTCGGCTGAACGGTGAACCACAAAAAGGGCCCCTTGAGGCACAGAGGAGATAGGCCCAGAGAGGTGGTGGCTGGTCTTGGGACACACAGCCAGCATGTGGCAGAGCCGAGAGGTCCCCTCTCAGGTCCTTACCTCATGGGTTTGAAGAGGTCCTGTCATTGTTGGGGCATGTTATGGTTAGCTTTGGCTGGGCTACCCCAGACTTTTGGACTGCGAGGCAGACATGGGGTCGAGGAGGACAGGGTTGGGGGATGGGAATCGTGGGTGGGGTTACAGAGGTGGACTTGGCTGTGCCCAAGGCCACCATCCTCCTCCTTCAGGGTGGGCCCAGCGGGTCATGCAGGTGGACAGCTCATCTCCATTGATGTGGAAGTGTTGCAGGCGGAGTAGGTGCCCCAGGGGTTTGGCTTGGTGGTTCTGCCAACTTGGCTTGGCCCTTACTGACCCTGGGGCCCCAGACTCAAGGGCCAGGCAGCGGGGCCCTGCTGAGAGGCAGCGAGGCCAGGCTGGGTGAGAAATGGGCTTTATCTGGGGGCGGTTGCAAACCAGCTGGCGGGGGTTAGGCTGGGGAGCAGCGTGATTCTTCTGGTTGCTGTTCAGTGAGCGAGATGGAGGTGGGTGGGGAGGTGGGTTAGGAGGCCCTGCAGCACAGCTCACAGCCCAGCTCCTCCTTGACTAGCAGAGCAGGTGACTGGCCGTCTAGCTGTCTCTGCTCAGCCCTCTGAGCTGGGAGACCTGTTCCCAGCTCTACGGCATCGGATTCTGCCAGAAGCCTCCATGGCTTCCTGCCGCTGGTTGGTGACGTGGGTACGCCCCACCTAGTCCCAGCCTCAGCTCCGCTCACTCCCACCCACTCTTTGGCTGCTATGCCCTGAGCCCTCTTCACCTCTCAGGGGCATACAGAAATCCTTTTCAGGCCCAGCTCAAATATCACTTCCTCTGACACACCCTCCAGGCCAGTCTGGGCATCAAGGCCTCTCCCTGGCAACCCCAGCCTGTGGGGAGCTCAGCGCTCACCACATTAGCTGGATTTGTAGCCAAGGCGCTGGCTGGTGGAGAGCACTGCTGAATGGCAGGGACTGGCCATCTCCAGCGGTTCCAGGGCCCGGCAGCACATGCAGCATTCAGCGAGAGGGAAGGAGGAAAAGAGGGAGTCTGGGACAGAGGGGCCCCAGAGAAGATGGAAAGCAGCCCCCATCCTGGAGTCCTTGAACATCTGAGCTATGCAGGCCTCAAAGAGCCCCGACTCCTTACTGCTCACCCATCTGGGGAGGTGGGAGAGGCTTGGTCTCTAGCCAGGTGTCCAGTTGGTCAGACCTCTGCCATTTGGCACTGTCGCTGTTGGTCCGTGAACTTCCCTTTGGGGTGGCATGGAAGAGCTTGTCCTCCCCCAGCACGGGCATGGGAGTTACTCAGGGGTGGGCAGAGAGCTGGCCAGTTTGTCCTGGCCCACCTGGAGTGCTGCGGCTGCAGCCTCTGTTGGGCACCTCCCCTCTATGGAGTCCTTGCCATCATTGAAGTCCTGCAGCTCCCAAAGCCCCCATGGCTTCCAGCCCAGTGGCTCCATGGGCTGCCACGGTTGTGACAAGGCCACCTAAAGGGCCCAAGAAGAGGAAGAAGCAAAGTGTAGCA